GGTTGCTATGAGTTGGTACTGACTTGAAGGCACCTAACAACAACAATAACAACAATAAAGCTGGCAATAGGGTCATTATTTGGTTTTCTCACTTTTCTTCAAGTCTGAAATTTTCCATAATTACATTTCTGCAATGACCTCGAGAACTCAGAGAAGCACATCCGAAATATGCATCAGCTACTGCTTCTCTCAGTCTCACTGAGCCACAACTATTTCTTTCTTCCTTCTATAAACCCTAAACACCCTTATATACTTGACATCATAACACATATCTGGTAGGGTAACTGTTTAGTTGGTTTTGGGGGGGCTTATTTCTGCTTCTACTATGAGTATGGGGTTGTTGCTAAGTGCTGTTGAGTCAGTTCCAAGTCACAGTAACCCTGTATAAGGTTTCCGAGGAGTAGATAGTAGTTTTGAACCACTGACCTTGTGGTTAGCAGTCTAGTACTTACCCTACAGCACCACACCAGGACTCCTGGGTTTTTGTTTTAAAGGCAGTCTACGGGTTACAAACGACTTAGGGGGCAACTCCTACTTGCCCCTTAATGTTATATAAACTTGCCCTCACTTTGAAATGACTGCACCAACCCCTACTGACAACAAATCCTTTATCAGAAGCTTCATTTGCTGTACAAGCAGCTTTTGAATCATTGCAAAGCCTCGGAGCTTGTTTTGAACTAAAGGAAGGCTAACTAGAAACCGTATGCACCTGTTGTAACTTAGCTACAAATTCTTAAAGACAGTTAAGAACGGCCTGCATTTCTGTTTGATTCTCTTGTATCTAGCACATAACTGTTTGTCTGAATGATTTTAAAAAGATATCAGGCTTAAGTTCATGTTAACACCCTTTTAGAAGAATGCTCTCTGTAGTAAGGCATTACATAGAAAACCACTGTCACCGTTTCCTGAGCCCGGCTGCATGCCCAGCCTTGTGCTAACCACTGTACACATGCCGTTTCGTACGTCCTCACAATTCTATGCGCTAGGCTTCATCACAGTGATTTTATAGTTAAGAAAACTGCAGCCCAGAGAAATAAAGTAACATAGCCCAAAACATAGACTCTTAAGTTGTTGTTGTGGTTGTTGTTAGGTGCCATCGAGTCAGCACCGACTCATAGCGACCCTATGCACAATAAAATGAAACACTAAGCGATCCTGGGCCAACCTCACAATCATTGCTACGTTAGAGCCCATGGATGTTGCTACATAGCCAATCCATCTCGCTGGGGGTCTTCCTCTTTCTCTCCGGCCCTCCACTTTACCAAACATGGTATCGTTCTCCAGTGACTGGTCCCTCCTGACCATGTGTCTGAAGTATGACAAAGTTTGACCAGCCTGGCTTCCAAGGATCATTCTGGCTGCACTTTTTCCAACACAGATCTGTTTGTTCTTTTGGCAGTCCCTGGTACTTTCAATATTCTCCTCCAACACCAAAACTAAAATGCATCAATTCTTCTATGGTGTTCCTTATTCACTGTCCAACTTTTACATGCATATGAGGTTATTGAAAATACCATGGCTTGCGTCAGGCGTACCTTAGCCCTCAAACTGACATCTTTGCTCTTCCTCACTAAGTAGTGATGTTGAACCAAACCCATTTCTAAGTTACTGCATTTGTCTGTGTTCCTTAATGATTTGTCTCATGTAAAGGTGACATCACCAATGACTTTTATAAGCAAACTTCCTCTCCATCTCCCAGCAGTACCCAGTCGTAGTACATGTGGGGTATAAACCACAAGGTCTTTGTTGAGATCAGATTTCTTAGAAAGGTTTTCATGTGGTGAGAAAAGAGCCACAGAAGCTGGCATGTGTGCCAGAAAACTGGTGGTGATGGTGGTGTGCCATGGAGTTGTTTTCGACTCATAGCGACCCTGTATATTTCAAAGCTGTAAA